GGTGCACAGTGCTCCTATAGCCCTCGCCCCCCACCCTTCCACCCAACGTCACCAGAGGAGTCAAAAACCAGCAAGGTTGAGCTTAGGGAGCTCAGCTCCCACCCGCAAAAGAACCTGGGCCTTGAGTTTAGAGATGAGCTCCTGCAGCTGGGGAGAGGGTGGGAGGGAGGGATGAAGTTGACTCCAGCTGTTTCCTTGAGCTCCCAGGCCACAGAGGAATAGAGGGGGGCGCCCAGAACAGGCAGGGCTGCTGGAGCCCAGGGATACCTCCCCTGGCAGAGCTGGGCCTGTCTGACTCAGAGGGTGGGGTGATCCAGGGAGTTCTCACCACCCCAGGCACCCCTGGGGACCTGTCTAGCCAGTTTCCCCAAACTTGCCACATGGGCATTTAGTTTTAAATTCCTCACATGCATCGTGATGGAGACGGTTGCATTCTGGAGGGAGAGACAAGCACCGCCTTCCTGTGAGCTGCTGTTCATGGCTCAGCTCTCAGGTAGGGGCCTGGTTTCCCTTGGAAGTAGAGCAAAAGGATTGCTCCTTCCTCAGCCCAGGTCTACAGAGGACAGGACTGGCCTAGGAGGAAGGCCCAGCTCCTATCTCAGTTCTCTTTGAGCTGCGGCCTGGGCAGACTGTCCCCTCCCCAGGCCTCAGTGTTCTCATTTTGGTAATCTCTGAAGTTTGGTGGTTCTTTTTTTTTTTTTTTTTTTTTTTTTTTTTACCAGGGATTGAGCTTTGGTACTGAGCTACACAACCAGTCTTTTTTATTTTTTATCTTGAGACGGGGTCTCACTAAGTTGCTAAGGCTGGCAGACCTCCTGCCTCAGCCTCCTGGGTTGCTGGCGTGAAGTTTGGTGGAGAGCTAACCATGCCTCCTCCCCTTCCACCAGGGAGCCATTTTAACACAGAAAGTCACAGCTGAGGAGGTCTTTGGGGACCATTCAGTGTAACCCCAACTGATGAGTGAGGAGCCACAGGCCCAGAAAGAAGAAGGACCTGGCCCTCAGCAACCCAAGGATCGACCCCAGGTCCTATTCCGGTCACTGAGGGATCCAAAGTCCTTCTCATCATTGGCTTTGCTAGGTGCCACCTCTCTTGGTCCTCACCACCTCCTGCTCAAACAGAGTGAGGAAGCTCCAGGGCAAGGGGCAGAGGTACCTGTCACAGCTCCCCCCACCTCGTCTTGCCCTCTCCTCCTGAACCCTGTCCCCTGGCAGGCTCATGGAAGGTACTGATGGCAAGGAATCATTCAGGCAGAGCTCCAAGACCTTGCTGGGCTATCACCTGGCTTTTTGGGTGCTGCCTCCTACCTCCCCTGCCCCAGGGTAGCCTCGGTGGGAGGTGCCCTCTGAATGTAGGAGGGAAGGAGAGAGGTATGGAGCCCAGCCAGCTAGGCCAGTGTCAGGCAGGGCTTAGGCCCTGGCCCAGCTCCCCACCCAACCTGACTCGGACTGGGGAACAGGGTGTGTGTGTGCGCACGTGTGTATGTGTGTGAGCCCAAGCCACATGCAGTGCTGTCCTCCCATGTCTCCCCATTCTCCTGACCTCGTGCCCCTGTGGGAAGAAAGCTGGGGACTGGGCCTGTGAATGGAACCTGAGGGCCACATAGGAGAGGAGGATCAAGCTGCTGATTCCCCTCCACCCAGTATTAGACGGCGGCTAATGATGGTGAACGATGGGGGTCTTAGAACCTGAATCAGGACCACAGAACTGTAGCTGCCAAAGAGGGCATAGACCAAGGGTTTCTAATCTAAAGGCACATGGAGGGTGGGCTTCTGAGTCCTCTGGTGAAACGGTAAGCAAAACTGTGTGCATGCAGTCTGTAGCTCCATCGGGGCCTCAAAAAGTCTATGATCTAAAAGAGGCAAGAGACCTGGCCCCAGCTGTGGGGTGGGGATTCAGAGAGGCAGACAAGGGAGGTGGTAATGGTTCTCTGGCTGGTCCCCTAGGAGGGGAAGACAAGGCTTCTAGGCAGTGGGGGAGGAGGAGGGAGGGTGGCCTGAATAGCACTTGGCCCTGGAGGCTGGCTGCAGGGGTTGGAGTCCTGGTTCTTCCACTTAAGCAAGTCACTTCTCTCAGTTCTTCAATTTCTCCATCCGTAAAATGGGGGCTCACGACAGCAGCTTCCTAAAGGGACCTCATTAACCCTTTAGCTGAAGGATCTTGGAGTGATCCAGAAGTGGGAAGGACAGGACAGGAGAAGCCAGCAGAGGGGAAAGGCGGTTTTCCCGGTAGAGTACTTTAAAATTCAATAGTCAATGCATGTGGCTCCATTCACATGCATGATACTTGGAGCGGTGCCTGGCACACTAAGTGCTCCTGCGGAGATCACAGGGCTGAGCCACTGGATGGGACTGGCAAGCAGCTCCCCCTGCCATTTAGCCAGCACTGAAGGAAGGTAGCGCACTTCCCTTTTCTGGCTTCAGTTCCTGTCTCTGTAAAGGGAGGCTCCTGTGGCCCCACTGAGGCTTCAGCTGGGCTTCAGGGTGTCTTCCTTATCTCACTCTCACGAGGACCAGGAAGTATTTCCGGAGAAGGTCCAGAACTCCCGGCTTCAGATGGCTATGCCCCAGCCAGTGGCCCCCCAAGTCTCCGCAGGGTCTGCCTGGGGCCTGCCCAGACCAGATCCCCAGCAAAGGCTGGGACGGAAAGACAGGTGGGGCCCAAGGTGGTGGGCGGGGAAAATGCTGCACTTTAGCCAATCAGAACACACTCAAAGGGGACCTCCCTCATTAACCTTTTAGTTGAAGAATCTTGGAGTGATCCAGAAGGGGAAGAACAGGACAGGAGAAGCCAGCGGAGGGGAAATGCAGTTTTCCCTGTAGAGTACTTTAAAATTCAATAGTCAGCGGGCAGCTCTGGGACCACACCACTGGGATCCTGAATAGGTGTGTTGAGGGTAGGTCAGGAAGAGATGAGCTCACCTCCAGAAATAGGATCTGTCAAAATTGTTCATCTGTGTTTATGGTCACAGTGACCCCCACAGCAGTTTTATGCATCTCTGGAAATGAAGGTGGGGGCTCACTTTATACCTTTCTTTTCTTTTTTTTTTTTTTTTTTTGGTACCAGGGATTGAACACAGGGGTGCTTAACCCTGAGCCACATCCTCAGCGCCCCCCTCCCCATCTCACTAAATTGCTTAGAGCCTTGATAAGTTGCTGAGGCTGGCTTTAAACTTGTGATCCTCCTGCCTCAGCCTTCAGAGCTGCTAGGATTCCAGGTGTGTGCCACCATGCCTGGCCCTCACTTTATACCTTCTGGTTGGTGGTGGTTTTCTTTCTTTATTTGTCTATAATAGCCATGAATTGCCTTTTTAAAAAATATTTTTTAGTTGCCAATGAATTTTTCACTTTATTTGTTTATTCATATATGATGCTGAGGATTGAACCCAGGGCTTCACATATGCTAGGCAAGTGCTCTACCACTGAGCCACAACCACAGTCCACAGATTGCTTTTATAAGCAGAAAATATATGATTGAAAGTTGTATGCACAGAAATCTGTGTGCTAGACCCTCCACAAGGAGGCCTTGGGGATGCAGCAAGGTGTCAGACTTGGTCTATCTCACTAGAACCTTGAGGTCTGTCTGGTGGAGTTGGACAAACCAGAAAAAAATTGGTGATGCAGAGAGGGAGGTGGTGGGGCCAGGCAGTGCCGGGCAGGGCGTGCAGATACCAGGACCAAGGTGTGGCATCCTGTTCTGTCTAACAGGCCCCGAAAGCTCAGACTACAGTAAGGTGCCTTGTCAGCCTAGGTGGTACAAACCCTCAAGGAGTTGTCATATGTCACCATGGTTGTCACCATGACTCAGGCAACAGTGTTGTCCCAACCAAGACCCAGACCTGAGAGATATGAGCGAACCCACATTTGGTAGGCTGCTGCTTAGACTCCAAGTCTGCCTGTCCAACATAGCAGCCACTGACTACAAGTGGCCATTGAGGGCTTGAAGTGTCACTCTTCAGAAGCGGGATATGCTGCACGTCGTGGTACTCTAGATTCTGAACACTTCATATGAACAAAAGAAAGTAAACTATCTCTTTAGTATTTTTTACATTGATTAAATATTGAAATGACGCTCTTTCATATATTCTGGGTTAAGTAAAATATATTATTAAAATCAGTTTGACTTTTTTTTTTTTTGTGGTGCTGATGACTAAGCCCAGGGCCCTCCCTGCACATGCTACGTGAGCGCTTTATCACTGAGCCACACCCCAGCCCTTACCCATTTCTTTCTGCTTTCAATGGAGCTACTAGAAAATTTCAAATTACATGATTCTTGCATCACATTTCTATTGACAGCACACTTGTCTAGAATGTTTCAGAAAATTTAGGAATTTTTATTGTGGAAAACAGAACCAGTCCTAAAATATTTTCTCTGGGTCTTTTTACTTCACCAAAGAACAAAAGCCCAATCATGGGCTTTGAAAGAGAAGTTTCTCGTAGTTTCAGACCCACAGACAAATCTGTCTCAAATGCCCTTCTCCCAAGGTCACTGCTGTTTGTCCTATGAGGCAGTTTGGGTGTCACCTCTTTCATGAAGCCCTCCTTGACCACCCTGTGGCTCGACTCTGCCCTGTTTCTGGTCCTGGTTTGATCAATTGGTGTCGTCCATCCCCTGCAGTGGGCACAGGCTCCTGAGCAATGCCAGTGCAGACGTGGCTGTATCCCAGCACCTAATGCAGGCCTGGCATGAAGCAGAGAGCCACCACCGATTGTGGGAAATGAGCCCCGCTTAACTTGGGGTACCCACTGTTAGGCCACCTCTGTGCCCAAATTCCCCATGACCTACAGGAGCTGACACCCCCATCCCAGGCCTTTCTGCCGTGAGCACTAACCATGCCTCCTCCCGGCAGCCGCCTAGATTGGCATCAGGAAGGAAGAGAATGACAGGGGGTGAGGCTGATGTCCCCTCAGGCCAGCACAGGGGAGGCAGGTTCCTCTGTGGCAAGCAAGGTGTCCCTACCCAGAGCAGACCCTCAGACCCGGGAGCAGAGCTGTACTCACCAGTGGGAGGAAGGTCAGCAGGGGCCGGACTCTCGGTCGAGCTTTCAGTGTGGCTGTTCCCGACTCGCTCACCGTGTCGAACCGATGGTCTCCATAATAGATCCCATCTGGAGGAGAGTGAGGACAGACGGTGAGCTGGAGTTCAGAGGGGACGCCAGGCCAAGTGCGACCCACCCAGCAGGTCCCAGCGAGGAAGTCATTAGCCTCAGCTAAGACCCTCTACTACAATAAGGTCCTGGGAATATTCCGTGTGCTCATGGGGCCACTGTGGTGGCCTTGTGGGAGGGACTCAGGGGTCGTTGCCGGGGGTCTCCGCCAGCGTTCCCGGGGCTTTCAGTCCCTCAAAGGTCATCTCTCTCCTTACCTTCCACACCACCCCCCACACACTGTCATGAGTCCCCAGGCTTCACTGCCACAGAAAAGTGTCCCTCCTGGGGCCAGGAGAGCTTGACCAAGGTGACAACCAAAGCTTATCTCTGAGAGAGGGAGCGAAACAAGGCAGTTTTTTCTCTCAAGTGTTTGCATTTCTAATCTGGAACTAGCAGAGCGCACGAGGCCACCCGCTGTCCCCTGTGACCAATACTCCATCTTCTGGACCCCTCAAACCCAAGAGTTCCTTAGCCCCAAGCCACCAAAGGCGTGTGCACAGCTTTCTTTGATGTACTCTGGAGGGCCGAGGAGAAACAGTGGGCTGTAGTAGTGACCTAGGAAAACCCCAGCTCTGCCCCTGACTGGCCATGTCGCTCATCCCCTCGGGGCCTCCCAGGTTGCCAGCTGTGCAACAGATGTGATGCTAGTGCCAGCCTCTTACGACTGTTGTTTGTAAGAGTGAAATGTTCAACAGACCTGGTCCCTTCCCCTGCAGGGAGATGTCACCGAGGACCCTCCCTTTCCTCCAGTTCCTGGGCCCTGTGTGCAGCTGGGGAGGGAGTGAGGAGACATGCCCTCTTTCTCAACCAAGCTCCCTTGTGACCCTGTCACTCACTGATAAGAACTTTGGATTCCCTCCCAGATGCACACTGTCACCTCCTCAAGGCAGGGATCACCGAGGGCCTCTTTCTATGTGGGCCACAAGCAAGGAGGCCTTTCATCCACTTAACAGGGTCTGAGGGACTTTCTCCCCCTCTGTACTCAAGAGAGGAAAGAGAAGAAGCTTCAAATCCCCGTTAACCAGAATCCGGATACTTGGAACTCCAAACTAACTGAGATTTCTTTTTTCCTTTATGAATGACTTGAGGAGGAAATTGCAAGAGAGCCAAATGACGTATTCAAAAGAGCCCGGGGCTTGTCAGAGAGGTGCTGGGATCAGAATGTGTCCATCCCAAATTCCTACTCCTGTAGTCACTGTCCTCCACGAGCAGCGAGGCTTCAGGTGTGACAGGGAGGCGCCTAGCACTGTGACCACTGGTGGGCAGGGCCCTCAGTGTGCTGCCTTATCAAGGCAGAAAGTTGGCGAATACATCCAAGACTGTCCACCTCTCAAAAGAGTACCAAACAACCGGTTCTGTGCGCATCTCCTGTTCCTGGAAGCCCCAGTTCCCAGTGCTGCCCTGCCCCAAGCACTGGGCAAACATGATTCCCCAGTCAGAGCTGCCAGGCTCCACGTCTGAGGCTGCCGAGCAGGACTGGAAGGGCACCAGGAAGGAGCCTTAGGGTGCAGCCTTGGCCCAATCAGAACAAGAGAGGGGAGATAAAATGCACATCTCCAGCGGCCACCACCAAAGCTTGCCCGACCCGGAGCTTCCAAGTCTGTGTGCTGGTGCCTGGATCTCCTAAATGACATGCTCTTCGCGGGACTGGGAAGGGAACATGGGACAGCCTCTCTCCTGGGCAGACACACTCTCTCACTAGTGTGGGAGTCTAGGAAGTGCCTTTCTGCAGTTATTCTCATACTAATGGCCTCTATGAGCATGCGCCTAGGAGTTTCAGAAATGTTTTATCTGAGCAAACCCCCGCCCCCAGCAAACTCTGATAGAAAAAATACAAGGTAAGATTTACTGAATGCTTTCACATGTCAGGCACTGTTCTGAGAATCCAACACATTATTAATTCATGGTTTAATTCTCAAAACAGCCCCATGCAAATTGCTTTAAAGATAAGGAACCTGAGGCAGAGCCTCACCGGAAGTGTTAAAGCCAGGGCTTCCCTGAAGGATCTGACCTCTGAACCACCACAACCCACAAAGGAAGGACTCAACCCCATATTTATAGGACTTGGATGGGAAGATGGGGTGCAAAGGGAGGGGTGTTTTTTTTTGGGGGGGGAAGGGTCAGGAAGTCTTGGCTTTGGCCAATGAGCAGCTTTCACAAAGTCACCCCCGGGTCAGGACAGAGTCAGCTCTGAACATGGCCATCTGACCCCGGGCTGGCCCAGGCGGGTGTTCTAGCTACGTCACAGATTCCATGACTCAGCCCCAACTGGAGCACTGTGGCTTTGCTTGGCCCGTGGTTATTCTGAGCAGGGGATTCCTTCCGCACAATACAATTGTTCTCTGTAAATCATACAGAAGGGGCGTGGCTGTGGCTGAGGCAGGGCTGGTGGAATCGTCCCCCCTGGAAAATCCATTTGGCACCTCTGGAAAGTCAATTTGCTTTCCCAGTCCTCAGCGTTGTGTCACGTGTAAGTGTGTAAACACAAAGATGGAAGCAGAGCCCAGTGATGTGACGAGAGGATTCCACCAGCCACTGGCCATCAATGGCTTCAAAGATGCAAGGGGATGGCCAAGGAGTGGCAGCAGTCTCTAGAAGCTGGAAAAGGCAAGAAAATAGATCCTCCCTAGAGCCTCCAGAAGAGCCAAATCTTCCCAACCCCTTAATTTTAGCCCTGTGTCAGACTTCTGGCCTAGATGATTGTAAAACAATAAACAACAATAAGCTTGCATTGCTTTAAATGAAAGGAAGGAAGGAAGGAAGGAAGGAAGGAAGGAAGGAAGGAAGGAAGGAAGGAAGGAAGGGAGGTGTAACCAGGATCTGATGGGCCTCTCTGGGCCCTTCCTATCTGGCTCAGTTTCTGCCAGGTCAAGGAATGCCATTCGGTGAGACGTGTGTGGCCATCACCATAAGCTAGGTCCTCCAAGTATTCAAGATCAGCTGAAGCTTTCCCAGCTTCAAGGTCAAGGACCAAAGCTGAACAGAAAGATAGGAGTCCAACCTTGGGGACTTTCCCATGGAAGTAAGTGAACTCCACTGGATTGGTGGCAGGGATGGTGGAACAGGCCTTTCGGAGGAGCAGTCCCTTCTGCTGCTGAGAAGTTAAGGTGGACTTGGAAGGTCCTGATGCCTGAGGGGTGAGGGAAAGGAGGAGGTGAAGGGGTGGCTGGAGAGGAGGCTCATGCAGAAGGTCTTACCCCAGCAACTCACACCCTGAACCGAGCAACCTCTGCCCTTTCTCTACGTTCCTTTCCCACTGAGTTCTTGGTGATTCCAGAAGTTTCCCATTTGCCACAGGCCTGGGTCAGACCATGAAGATCCAGAGGGATTCAAAAGAAAAAGAGAAAGAGCTGCTTTGAGACTCAGAAGCTTCCAGAGAAAGGGAGGCCCTTCCTGAGAGTCCTGGGCAACAACAGCAGCCAGAAAGGCTTGTGAGCAGAGCCTGAGTCCCTGGTGGACCCCAGCCCATGGAGGCAGGAGGCTTCGGCTCAGTGTCTGACAGATCCACCTACCAGTAATGTGGTGATAGAGCAGGAGTAGGTTCAGGTCTGCCTCCATTTACCCAAACCCGAGCACTAACACAGTCCTTCCCCACAGATTAAGCCCTCTTCATGACAGGATTGTGTGCAGGACTCCCTTAGTTTTTCTCCCTAAAAGTTTCTCCCTCACATATTGACAAGGAGTGAAGGAGAGACACAGCCTTCCTTTACCCTTGCTCAGGATTGAAGTTGCCATAAATAACACCTAATATCCAAAAACCCATTTCAGAATTATTTCTTGGTGCCTGAAGACACGCTCTTGACCCCCGTCTCAGAACCTGACCTTGCCCTTGGCTTAAGGAAGTCGTCCAGCCATGGCTAAGGCTCTGTCCCAGGTCAGAATCACCCAGGCAGAGCCCAGCTCCTCCTCTGGGAGGGGAGGCAGGGCATCGTGGGGTCAAGACTGCAGGTTTAGAGCCCAGGTGAAGTTGGGCTTCAAAGTTGTGCTCCATCACTTAACTATGGGGCCCTGGAGGATCACTCCTCTCTTTTTGTAAATGTGAACAATGGTCCCTACTGGGTGGCCTAGTGAGAGCCTGAATGAGAAAAGGTATGGAATGTGTTAGCCCAGTGCCTGATGGGTAATTTTTGCTCAACCTGTGGGAAGGCTGATTATCACCTTATCATTGCCATCAGCAGGGCTCATTCACTCTCTCTCTTGCCCCTCCTCTTCCCCACCAAGAGTTTGGGCTTTTGAGTTTGAAGCAGATCACGACACATGCAAATTAGGGAGAACACGTGAACCATGGCTGAGTGATCCTTTGCTCTCATCAGGGGTCATTCTGGGTCCTAATCCCAGTTTAGCGCTGGTTCCAATCACCCTCTTGGCAAATGGGGAGACTGAGACCCAGAGTGGGAGGAGTGGAACCAAAGTCACACAGCTGTGGTGGTGCCTGGGTTTACAGGGTCCTCGACCTGCAGTCTGAGCTGTCCTTCCCCCACACAGGGGCTCCCTGCTTCTCCCCATAGCCGTCTGCTCTCTGCCTGAGTGGGGTGCATGTGTGTTTAAATTGGGGGGTGCTCTGGGAACACTGAGGGCTGGGACAAGCTGCTGACTCTCAGCTCCTTTTTCTCCCTTCTTCCCAAGAAGAGGAGCCTAATGGAGTCTTCTGCATTTCTTTTCTCAGAGTTAAGGATTGAAAGCCTTCCCCAGCCCCAAAGCTGCTCACAGAGCTCATGGAGATTGAGGTTAGAAGGTTCTGGGACAATTATCTGGTTCTCCAAATCCTAGCTCTGTCCAAACTAGAGAGAAAAATTAATTTAATTAGATCCTTAAACGTTTGACATCTACTATTATTACATGTATTACAAGACAGACTCTTCGTCAGGCGTGATGGCACACGCCTGAGATTCCAGCCACCAGGGAGACTGAGGCAGGAGGATTGCAAGTCTGGGGCGAGCCTGGGCAACTTATAGAGA